GGCTGAATGTTCTATGACATCAGCACGGACCTCTGTGTAAGTATGAGGGGTTTATTGCATTACACAAGTCACATAGTGTGTGTGTGTGTGTGTGTGTGTATGTTTGTTTATAGTTGTAGTTCTTTTTCTAGAGTGTAGGTTTCTTCTACATGCTATTACAAGCCTCTAAAATCATACACTGTTATACTACTGTATCTATATACTGTACTATACTATATAATGCATACATATTTGCATCATCATCATCATAGACAGTGTAACACACTTTTTTGTAGGATGTATTTCAAAGTAGATACTCTGAAAAATGCAAGAAAAATGTAAAATTCATACAACATAGCCAACAAAGAGAGATGGCTAAAGTCTCTTACTATATTACAAGCATACTGTAACAGGTTCACTATGCAGTCATATAAAATATATAGGGATAGATAGATAGATAGATAGATAGATAGATAGATAGATAGATAGATAGATAGATAGATTTAAAGCCTGTGTTACATACATACAATGGCCACTGTAGACTAATTACCTACATCCAAATTGAATTTAAATATTAGATGCCACCAGCTCTTTGATAGAGGTTAAAGGTGTGTATAATATTCAGTTACATTGTCCTATGGTCCCCTCAGCATCATTGCACAGCTGATAAACATAAATACACAATGTACATGTGATGTAGTGTAAAACAACAACTACATATACAAAGTGCTTGTGAAGCAATATAAAATACAACTTAGATCTGCAATGTATGTGTGATGTAGTATAAGAAACAACTACATATACATATACAAGGTGCCTGTGAAGCAATATAAAATACACAATCTATATATGCAATGTACATGTAATGCAGTATTAGCTAACAACTACTTATACTAGGTGCATGTGAAGCAATATAAACTACAACTTATATGTGCAATGTACAGGTGATGCAGTATTAGCTAAAAACTTCATATAAATATACAAGGTGGATGTGAAGCAGTATAAACTACAACTTATATGTGCATTGTACATGTGATGTAGTGTAAGGCAATAACTACATATACCTATATAAGGTGCATGAGAATCAGTACAAAATAAACTTATATATGCAATGTACATGTGATGTAGAATAAAGTAATACTTTTATATGCAATGCATGTGTGACTTAGGATAAACTAATTATTTATTTTACTTATTTATACAATGTACATATAACGTAGGATAAACTAATATTTATTTATTGATTGATTGATTTATACAATGTACATATGACGTAGGATAAGCTAACAGCCCTGTAATATGCCTGTGCCAACAGTCTACATAGTTAACACGTCTTCCACATAAATATAATTTATAGCTCGGCTCTTTAAATCACTTCATAAACATTGTAAGTGTGTCTGCCATCCCACAACTGAAAGTTGGTGATAATGAAGATTTCAATGGGCAATAATGAGGAATGACTATATAGAACACACAACTAATATTTGCTGAGGGTACAATGGCTTTGGCTCTATAGGTATACTGCTTTAGAGGTATTCATGTTGTATGCTCTGACTATGCAGATGTACATATGCAGACATGTATATGAAGTTACAGGGCCCTGTTGTCACCAGACTCCCCTGTGACGGACTATCTGATTGGACGATCAGTCCTAATCCCAACCATTGGATAAACAAGCAGTCATCTCCAGAACCTGCAATTTAATATCAGCCATCAATTAATTAAACTCCATATAAAATTTGGAGATTTTCCGCCCCGCCGTAGTTTGGAAATTTCTCAGCTGTGTTTTTGACTGAACAGGGGGCCGACGCTACACGTATCGGACTGGAACCTCAACGCAGTATAAAAATCTACGTGTTTATTGATCGGTTAGCAGCCTCGGGATGAAAGAAAAAAAAAAAAAAACTACCACGGCAAATTCTTTCAACTTGACGTGGGCCCAAAAATTTCACAGATCCCCCTAGAGACGTCCACCACATTCCTGAGGTCGACTACAAGGTGTGAACACTGATCGCAGGTTCAGCTCTGGCGTGCTAAGGAGCCATTTTGTGTCTGCGCCGGAGAAACCTTTTCAAAACCAACACGGTGGCTTCACAATCTAGACGTTGACATCTGCTGCCCTTCGTGTCCTCTTCTCCCCAATTTTTTTGTTTGGAAGACCATTTTTACGCCAGAAAATTTTACACAATTTTGTAAAAAAAACAATTAGTTGCTTCTCTATCTCTCATTTGCCTATATGCAAGCGCTGTTCATGATACTTGCAAAACTTCTTCCATGTTAGAAAAAAAAAATCGGACTACAAACAGCCCCTGAGACCATAAAGTGAAATTTGAAGCTGCGTCAAAGGACTGACGTTCTTGCACGACGAGGAGCAATTGTCCATTAGGCTGACAAATTATATAATATAAGGTGGAATGAAATAAAAATGCATCCAGTAGGCTGCAGGATTGTTGCCACAAATAACTGCTGTCATAAAAGCTTAATAATCCCAAACTTTTTTTTATGTCTTAGGGGCACGACAGCATATGGCCGAAGGCTGAGAAAATGGTGGTTTGGACTGAAAATTCACGGTATTGTTAAAAGGATTTTTCAGTCAGGTCTCCTCGGTGGCAGCTTTAAACCTTATCAAACATTCTATGGTATGTGGCAGTGACAGCGTGGCTTCCAGAATTTTTTTTCCTCTCATTTTAATATTGGCAACGATTTGTTTTATCGTCCCTGGCACACAGAAAATATTTAACGACCGCTATTTACAAAATCAACATAATCAATATATTAAAAAAAAGTAAAACTCGCCCCAAGAGGACGCATCGCGAGTATAAGCGTCTTATTTTTTAATTTATTTCTCACAGTTATAAAGCAAAGTAGAATCTTCGTTGAAGGGGCGGTTAGCTCCCAAGAGCTGACAATCCACAGCGTCAAAACCAGACGATCGATCGGCACTCTAAAAACGCAACTGACCTCCGTTAAAAAGGATCGCCTTTTACTTTCTAAACATTACGCTGCTGTCACCGGCACAAAACCGCCCGTACAGTCGAAAACGCCATCTTAATACCTCGAAAATCCCTCAAACGCCAGAAATGGAAAAGGGGAAACTTTGATCTCTAATCAAACGTTTTTTGTTTTTTTTTCTCGAAAGAGAATTTTTTATTTGCGACGCTGACCAAGATTTTATCTGGTTATAAACTGGGGGGGGGTTAAAAACAACCTTTTCACCAGAACCCCTTGAATGGAAAAGGCCCTGTCCAGAAAGCACTCCTAAATGAAATGTAATTAGTCTATTAAAAAACCATTCGGGAGATGCTCGTGTGCAGATAGAAAGCTGGCTCTATAGGGTCAGACCCCCTAATTCCTAATGACTTAGCCTTCAGCCCAAAAAGGAAGAATCTCCCTGACACAGGAAATGCTGCTATTTGCATGTGCACAGCCAATGTCACGTATATCTATGAATAGATATATGGATATGGTGATAGGGGGACTGCAGATAGATACACTATAATAGAAGACAGATAGATAGATAGATAGATAGATAGATAGATAGATAGATAGATAGATAGATAGATAGATAGATAGATAGATAGATAGATAGATAGATAGAAAGATAGATAGATCAAAAAAAAGTCAATATCAATACAGATTGATTGATTGATTAATTGAGAGAGAAAGAGAGAGAGATAGATAGATAGATAGATAGATAGATAGATAGATAGATAGATAGATACAGAGATAGATAGATAGATAGATAGATAGATAGATAGATAGATAGATAGATAGATAGATAGATAGATAGATAGAAAGAAAATAAAGACATAGAGAACCAACCCAGAGCAAAGTACATGCAAATACATACTTACAATCTATTTATCCATCCAATAAGGGGCCTAATACACCCGAGCCAGGAATTTTACTTATGTGGCCAAAACTGTCCCCAAACACAATAAAATAAAGGCTCACGCATACATGTCATCACTGATATTGTTTCTTTCATTACCATGACATAACTTCTTAATCAATAACATAAAAAGATAACAAGGAAAAAAAAAAGATGACATTACACCATAAGATTCCATATAGCAGTAACACACATAAAGACATAATACATTCCCAATCACATATATTGAACACAATGCATATAGTACATCTGATAGAATAACTTCCCTCGTATGCTCTGACAGTTCAAAAAAAAAGAAGGGTAATTGAGTGGGGCTTCTATGGTCACCCCGCAACTAGAGTTAAAGGTCCCGTGGGTATAATTCTAAAAATGAATCTCTAAAAGAAACCATGCTCCCCCATAAGGTGTACCCCCTCCATGAACTGCCCCTCTGGAAGTTGGGGTATCACTAAACTTTAAGACGGGCTGCCGCTGAGAGAGGCATTGGTTGGGGCGATCGCAGAGCCAATATCGTTAGCGGAACGCTTCGTATTTGCTCTCTGGTTGTTTTTTTTTGGGTGGTTAAACATGAGATTATTTCACCTACTGCTTCTCTCCAACCAAATGCCATTCTGAGCGTGCCCCTCCTGTCCTCCCACCCATGTCTCTCCCAATTAAACTAATAAGCCTTAATTATTCTAAGAGCTTGGAACTCCCACATCAGAAGACGAAAAAAGGGGGGAGACACCTTCAATCTGAACCTAATTGTCAAAGCTCTATTTTTTTTTTAGGGGGGGATAGGAAAAGGAGGGGGGGGGGGTGAACTAATAAAAGGAAACAACTGGAGCAGGTAAGTGTGGGGTTGCTATTTTTTTGGGATGCCCCCCTGTAGAAAAAAAAAATCTTTCCCTGTATTTTGTAAGCATTCCAGTGTCTCCGAATCGAAGCTCTCGCCTCTCTCTGACTCTCCCTCTCCCTCTCTCTCTTTTTTTTTTCCCTGTCTATCGACCAGAGGAGCTGAATCCGCTGCCTCTGACAGCCAGAGATCAATACAAACATGAATAAAAGGCAGCAGCGGGGTTTGGCAGCGAGGCACACTCTGCCTGCCTCTCCTGCTCGCTAGCAGTGGACCGCCGCCGATGTAGCTTACCGTCAGCACCTGCCAGGGACAGAGGCGACTTAAAGGGCCATGTGTGCTCGGAGCCGGCTCGCTGAAACAGAAAGGGGACGGAGAGCGGAACAAACATAGCAGCGTGCAGGCAGCTTTCATAACCCGATGAATTAGGCCAGGGTGCGTTGCGAGAGGCGAAGAGTGAGTGAGGGAGGGTGAGTGTGTGTGTATGTGTGTTTGAGTTATTAAGATTACCTGATTGTTGGTATTTTCTCTTTGCCTCTCCTCCTCTTTCTCTCTGGAGCCGGTTAATTTTACAATATGGCCCCCACGCATCCGAGGGCCCCCCCCCTCTCTCTTTCCTTTTGCACAGCAGCGCACACTGCCTGCGAGTCCCCGGCTATTCCATCTTACACTTCACAATATCTCCTCCTCTCCCTCTCCTCTCCCTCCCCTCTTCCTTGTCTGATGACAGCTGTATAAGCGACCCCTTCGTCCCTTACAGACCTCCCCCCTGATGCCCAGTTTCCCCCCTCCCCTTCTGGCCACCTCTCACTCCCCCCTTTATCCCCCCTCCACCCTGTCCACTGTTCACCCCCCTCCCTGAGGTCCATTCCATGCACACAAAAGGAATTATTTCCCTTGGAATAATGGAGATCTCCAGGAGAGAACAGGGACAGAGCACAGGCTAAATGGAGGGGCTCCTCCCCCAGCCACTGGGCACCCATTCAATGCCAGAGGGTGTACACTGTTTGGCTGTGCACCCCTCGACCGAAGGGGTTAATGGAACCCCCTCCCAGGGGCGCGCAGGAACATGGTGTAAGGTGACAGGTGACACTTGCGGGGGTCTTACACTGTCTTGCTGTCTCACATTGGGTCCTGCTGTCTCACATTGTACCCTGCTGTCTCACACTGTTACGCACGGTGTCACGCTGCTACGCCTTGTCCCATGCTGTCTCTCGCTGTCACGCACCGTCTCACGCATTGTCCCATGCCAACTCACACCGTCTAATACTTTGCTGCCTCAGTACTGCTCTGTAACTAGTGCCCGCTGGCTGCCCATGCCGCCTTCTCTCAGTCATTCACTTCGCTCTGCCACCGGGCTCTTTCTCTTACTTTCTGCTCAAATATTGGCCCAGCCTACCGCTTTTCCTCTTCAAACTCTTCTTCCATATGCCCTGCAACGCTGTGTGCTTTTTTTTTTTTTTTCCCCTGGGTATTACTGGAGAGCGGGGCCTAGGAAACCTGCTACAGTGTCTTGCAGCGGATATTTTGAAATTGTACAAAGTGAACAGTTGTACGAAGCAGCAGCAACTGGATCTTATGTCACCACATGTTTTCTATCCTTAGTTCTTTCACTCAGCATCCCACTCACCTTTCTGCTGAGGCTGCTGTCACTCAATGCCAATCTCTCCGGATACACTGGTCAATTTCACACCTTGCACTGTGTGCCTTGATTCTGTTCCTATCTTTTCTCTCTTTCCTCATACTCACTATATTATTTCTTCTTCCTTTTTTCCCTTTCCTTTTAACTTTACATTTTTTGTTTGCTTAGCTTTCTTTCTTTTCTTCTTCCTGCTATCTTCCTCTTCTTTTTCTTTATGTGTATCCTTCCTTCCTATCTTTCATCCTAACTTTCTTTCTTTTCTTCTTCCTGCTATCTTCCTCTTCTTTTTTCTTTTCTTGCTTTATTTTTTTCTTTCTTCCTTCCCTTACTTTCTCTCTATTTCCCTTTTTTTTCTTATCTTTCCTTTTTTCAATTTATTCCTTTCATTGCTTTTTTCTTCTTTCCTTTTAACTTTTGTATTCCCTTTTCCTCCCTCCATCCTCTTCCTTCTTTCTTTTTTTCTTCCTTCCTTCCCTACCATCTTCCTTCTCTTTCTTCATTTTCACTTTTCTTTCTCCTTTTCCTCCTCCCCTTTGCTTCCTTCTTCCCTTCCATTGCTTCCTTCTTCCCTTTTCCTCCTTTTTTTGTTCTTTCTTTTTTTTCTTCCTTCCCCCTCATCTTTCTTCCGTCTTCTTTCTCTCTCCCTTCATTGTACTTTTCTTTCTCCTTCTTCCTTCCCCCTCATCTTCGTTCCCTCTCTTCTTTCTCTCTCCCTTCATTGCATTTTTCTTTCTCCTTCTTCCTTCCCCTCATCTTCCTTCCCTCTCTTCTTTCTCTCTCCCTTCATTGCACTTTTCTTTCTCCTTTTCCTCCTTCCTTCCTCTTTTTCTTCCTTCTTTCTCTACTTATTTTTTTCCTCCTTCCAACCTGTCTTCATTTTCTCCCTTATTTCCTTCTCTCTTTAGTTTCACTTTTCTTTCTCTTTTTCCTCCTTCCTTCCTCTTTTCCTTGCGTCTTTCTCTTCTTATTTTTTTCCTTCCCTCCTGTTTTCTATCCCTCTCTTCTTTCTCCCTTCATTTTCACCTTTCTTTGTCATTTTTACTCCTTTCCTTCCTTCTTCATCTTTCTTTCTCGCTTTTTTCCCTCTCTCTCTTTCTCTTCTTCTTTCGCTTTCTCTCTCTCTCTTCCTCCTTCCTTCTGTCCTTCCTTCCTTTTCCCTTTTCTACATTCTTTTATATCTCACGAACTCCTGTCATTAACTTTTTTCTTCACTTGCTCAGTCTTGAATCCTTTTTAATGGTCGCCATGACACCCATCTTCCTTTTATTCTTTCTCACCACCTGTACATTGCTGACGCCCAATTGCCTCTCTTCCTCCTCACCTACGCACCTTTATTATTAAGCATCTTTTCTATGTAAACCCATTTATCCGATATTGCTTTTATTGCTGTACCCATCACTCCCCGACTTCCAATCTCTGTTTTCTCCCCTTTTCCATTCTCTCCATCTCCCCGTTATTTTATTCCTTAGTTTGTCCCTCACTTGCCCCCCTTTCCCTTTTGGCTTCCCTCTTATTAGCTCTCCCTAGCTCTCCTCTCTTTTGCTGCCTTTTTCCCTCGCTCCGCAGCGTGCAGGGACGGGAGTTAATTCATTACAAAGTACATTTGAGTTGCTAAAAAGAAAATCAATTCTTTCATCGAG